AGAATTCCACTCATCATCAGTAACCCTGAACACAAGTTAACCAAAGAGAAATAAGCTGGAGCTAGTAGTGTCTCATAGTGACTACAAAGCACGTTCACGCCAACAGTATGTTTGATACAGGTTCTTGTAATAATGTACAAATAATCTAAAATCTAATTAATGAAACATAAACTCATCATTAAATGTTTGTGCATAATATTATTAGATAATATTGATAACAATAATAATAAACACATGTTCTCTAAACGACACTATGTTCGCCATTGCCAACAATGTGTTCCGTTCAATTCAAAACTCATCAGTCCGGCTGTGACGCAATAAACACAGTACATTTGTTGTAATAACAATGGTTATAGTGTGAACGCCATTTCCAAGTAAACGAAGTATGATTATAATTAATTACACTTGTCATAAGATATTAATTAGTTTTAGGCCTATTATATTTTTAACACCGTATTCTTTATCTTGATCTTAAATATTTTTAAGAATAAGAAGTGTAAAATAACAGTATTCCAACCACACTTTATTCGCCATATCCAAGATCCTAATAACCCCATAACTCTTATATTTAATAAATTTAACATTGGATATCCCCTTGAAATGTGATAATAATGCAAATATTTACACCCACATAAAAATGGTAGGTTCTGGCTAGCAGCAAATCCATAAAAAGACCAACCAGGTGGTAATTCTATTTTCAAACAGTCAAAATACTATAGTGTTTACTCTCAGTGTGTTATCCTAACCTCAAATGATGTTTTTAGCTTACAAAAAAGTAAGTAAAAGAGGACTCAAAAATCCCATAAATAATATATATATATATATACATTACCATTATAAGAGGTCTAACAATTTGTTTTTGGTTTGCTGATGAGCCTTGAATAGACGAAAGTGCAACCCACAGCAAAGGGTGAGGTGAATCAAATAATATATTAGGCTTATATGTCAAGATTATATTTTAATCTGTACCCCTTTGGTGAAAAGAAAAGAAATATATGATATAATCAAGTAAAAAATTGTTTTGTTTACTTGAATTTTGTGCAAAGCTTAGTTTGGCAATTCAAACTCTTGGGCTAATCTTTTACCAACGAATAGTGGGATTGACCATTACTTATAACACTCCCATGACTAAAAGGGCGAACACCTTCGCTAACGGGCATTCGAACCCGCGACCCACAAATTAGGCGTCGAGTGCCCTAACCACCAAGCCATGCCAGGCTTAAGTAAAAATGAAAAACTCTCAAAATCTTATTAATAAGTTGTTGATAATTAACTAAATAATACATACTCGGTAAATTCAAAGACATCAAACACAAACTTCTCTAGCTTGATCCCATTGGGTTTCTCAGGTTTAATTTTTTGACCGTTATCATTCGTATAAGGTATTTTCTTCTTAGCTATATGATGCTTCAAGGTATTGGAACTGAAATTAAAAAGTAGTATTATATTATTCAAGTTACCAACCATTCCTTCATAATCTTTTTTTTTTTTTTACGATATTGCATAGGAGAATTGGAAACTAAAAGAGGCAAATAAAAACAATGAACGCTCCATGAAAACTTTAAATGGCAAAAGTAAAAAGCAATACAGAATTTGCTGGTTTTAATTTGGATAATATGCATAACAAATAATAAAAACTGAGAGTTACGTGCAAACTGTTTTATTGCAAACACAATATTATTTTGCACTTTGCTATATAACATCAAGGAGTTAAGATTTATTTGTTTATTAATAATGCATATGTGGGAATTTGGAGCAGTAGAATAGTTCTCGATTATATTGTAAAAAATCTTATTTTTACCAGAGAAATCTTCATGGGAATTGTTTTTTGTAACTGAATATATTTGGTTACTTAAAGGGCAATCACCGAACTGGAGTTTGAAAATACTGAAAAAAAAACAACCTTACTTGGTTACATCACGTAAAAAGTCCAGCGTGAAGAAATGGTTACAGATGTTAGCAGCGTTAAACATCAAGCTACCATCAGGGTTACATTTCTGTGCCGTTCGAGAAGTTATTTCACTATATTCCACAACTTGGTACTTCCCAGCAACCTTGCACACCACGCCCACTGGCTCCATGGGATACGATTTCTCAACAACCTGATTGTAAAAACAACAATCTTTATTGATCCTTTTCAATAATAATTACTTGGTTTTCTACTGTAAGTATTGCCACCTGTTAAAACAGTTTTAAGTAAATGAGTGAAAAACTTATATGTTAAAGCAGATATCTGTTGGTATATAGATAAATTCTTAAGAGCGAAATCTTGTTTAAAGATATAAAATGTCTTGTTTCTGATGAATGATCCATCCTATAGTGGGTTCGCGGTAAGTTTACGGACTTACAACGCTATACTCCAGGGTTCGATTCCCCACGTTGAATGAACGAATGTTATAAAATACACATGTGAAACACTTACATGGTATGTACGGATGTAAGTTGATATACGACTAAGTGTTTTAGAGAACTAAACCTTATTTTCAAAGTTACAAAATATTTATTTTCGTGTGTATGTAAAAAATTGTTTAAAGACACACGACTGATATACGAACCAATCTTTTTAAGAACTAAATGTTGTTTTACAAACTAAATATCTATTTCAAGAATGAAGAATTATTTCAAAATATATTTGCGAAACACTACTATACTAGTGGCATCTGTTGGCATATAAATAAAGCTTTCTCGTAGCAGTACCTCGTCACGTTTATATATATATATATATAGCTGTTTGCTAAAGATGTTTTGCCTAATCAAAACTTTTTGTATTTGTTAACGGTAAGGCCAACTAAAGAATATTATTAGGATTCATTTGCTTTGATGTTAAGTTTAAACTTTTCTTCTTGACAACAAGCCAATAGTTTTTACTTATTCATTTTCCTATCGTTTAAACATTCAAACAAACACGGATATACATTCATATATATCTGTGTATGTCGTGAGTAAAATATAATATTAAAAACATAGCTTGCTATATATACCAACCTTTGCAGCACAATTTGCACCTTTGCTGATACAATATCCAATAAAAATTGGATCGGCCATTTTAACCAAAATATTGTCTACACAGTATACGTGAACGTATTTGATCCCTCGTCTTTCCATGTCATTGATTATTCCTCTTTTCCTCAATGCTCGATACAGGCCACCATTTCCATCTGAGGGAGAAGCGAGGAAAATAAAATACCGTAAGTAAATAATGTGAAAACTTTAGTCTCGCGTTAGATATAATAATGAAGTAAATAGCTCCCTGGTGTAGTGTGACTATACAAGTAACCTGTAATATATATATATAAAAACAAACAAACATATTTTCGCATTATTTGTGTACTTTCGATGACTAGTTGTGCTTTCAAACCCATGAATATATATTACTCATGCTCTTTGACTACTTCACTTAACTAGCTGTAGATGTACAGTCGGTAAAATGTTTATCAGTTTGCGAAAACGAGCTCTAATGGCAATACAGGATTGTTTGGTAATGTATTTTAATTACGGGCGCGGATCCAGGGGGGCTGGACCCCCCCCCCCCCTGCTCGGGCAAAGCATAATTTTTTTAAATATCTAGATAAAAAAAATTTATAGATAATAAAACCCAAAAAACCCCAAGTAACCCTAAATTAACCTTAAAAACAAAATTTGTTATTTTTTTTTTATCTAATACAAGTAAGATGCCTTCAGTCTTATTCTTTTACTTACTTTTTTTACTTACTTATATATTTTTTACTTTACTTTTTAGTGAACTCCAGTGCTAACAAAGCTACGCTGTAAGTAAAAAATGGCGGATCACTTATATATTAGCGATTTTTCCATTTGGACTCCCTCCTGCTCAAAATCCTGGATCCGCCCCTGAATTATCTTCACAATTCACAGTTTTTTTTGTTTAAATTAAATGTTCTAAGCCTTTTAAATATCCCAGACTTTGTTATTGACACGTTCTTGGTTGCTTTTTGTAAGTGTATGTTTTTTATTTCTTCTAGAACTGTGATAAAAACAGTTTGGTACGTTTATTAACTTTGAATTATAGACCCCCCCTTTTAATTATAATACATATTAACATGTGATGTATTTAATTCAAAATAAATGCATACAGATGTTAAGATTTAACATTTTTTATAATTGGGAAAATTATTGAACATAAGGTTATTTATAAGACATCTATAAACTAAATAAGCCAAATACAGGCACCTCGCTATGTGAAATAGTTTTTTGGAAGTCTAAATAATTTATGTTCCTTTTTTTTTCTCGACTTACATAGGAAAGCATGTGGCCTTTAGTGGTCTATTGGTGGATACTGAAGCTGAGTAAAGTGTTTCTTCTAGATAAATGTTTAATATAAAGCTTCCAGACTTACCAGGGGCTCTTGCTATCTTCCACGGACTTTCTAGTATCATTTTGCCATCAAACGTGAAACAAGGAAGCATGCCTTGTTCAAAAACCACCAAATTTTCTTTTCTGAGACCAAAATAGTCGTGGCTGGCGAAAAATTCTAAGGTAGGTTCCATAGTATGCTCACTGGCCATTATGTACCTAAATGATAAGAATTGGTTGTTGTACGAAATTCAAAATAACTATTAAAAGCACACATGTTAAAGCTAGCTTATGATACGTATCGCCTTGTGTGTTGTTTCAAGTTGTAACGTTAGTATCCTCCCAGTGGCACAGCGCTATATCTTCGGACTTACAACGCTAGAAACCGAGTTTCGATACCCGTGGTGAGCAGAGCACAAATATCTTATTGTATAGCTTTGTGCTTAACTTCAAACAAATTAACGTTAGTTAGTTATTCTTTTTGGTTAAAGAGCCAAAGCTGCAAATTCGGCTATTTATGTTTAGCAAACCATTGTCGCAAAAAATGCGCTCCGCACTTTCAAGAAGTGGGTGCGTATAAGAGTACCGGTCAAATTCAATTTTTCGATTAAGCAAAACTATTCGAGAATTAGCATTGAGTGCTGTTATCTAGCTGTCTTTCCCGTAGTCGTCTATCAATTAATAGTTGAATATTGGAATAATTCTGTAGGGTTAGTGAGATTTTTTGCCTGTTTCTGACTAAAATCCGTCAGTGCGTCGCAAGTTGATAACTTTAACGAAGTTGACTAATGACATAAACCACTTAATGCGAACTTGGACTTTAATATCAGACGGAATTATTGTTTATGTCATCACAATCTAATACAGCTTATAATTTCGTATAAAATTTATTTTTATTCGTATAATTTCTCAAAATTTCAGTTTAGTTTGTTTTACTAAGTTGCAAGTTATTGTCCTTTTTTTTAACAAGATGTGTCCAACACTAAAATGCACTAAACCTTTGTATAAGAGCTATCATAAAATAAATTCAGTAATGTTGTGTTATTAATACTTACCCTAAAAATCTGATTTGTAAATGACTTAAATAAAATCTATAATAACTACGATTTACTGATTCAATCTAATTCCCAGCATAACTTTCATTGGTCATGAAAACTGATGACATGAATAACGCCTATACCACTGTTATGTCTGTCATATCCCAGCCGGCCTGATGAACCATGATATTGTCTGAAAGGCCTCTTCGGCACTGGATATAGCAGGTGTAGTGTGGTTGACATACTATAACATAGTCTTATTTGCCTCTACTCGTGAATTATCAGAATTACTAATGTAGTTTTCTCCAATTAACACTGTGGTTGCTTGAACCAATCTTGGAACAAGAAGACTTTGCTGGTTCACCAGTTCTTCTGAAGGATAGTACAGCAAATTCAAATAAAGTAATAATAAGAAGAAAAAGAATATAATTAGCATTGAAAATAAATGAAATAATATTGTGTTATTCAACCTTACCCTTAAACTCTGACTTAAAAATGACTTAAATAGAACTGACAATTATTACAATTCACATACTTAATCTAGTCCACACCATAAAAATCTTTGTTCATGAAAACTGATAATATAAATAGCGCCTACACTATTACTATCTATGCCATATCCCAGCCCTGCTAATGAGCCTTGAGATTGAGCTAAAGGCCTCATCGGTACTGGATATGGCATATATAGTGTGGTTGACGACTTATTATTCTTTGCTTTTACTCATAAGGTTTTAGAATACACAGTTGGAGGCTTGGCCAGAAATATGTTTATTTTCACAGTTATTCACAGTATATTCGTTATTTCTATCACGTAACCCACAATGTTACGTGATATGTTCACATTGGTGTTAAATAGCGTTTAGTTCACGAACACTTGATGTTCATCTCTTTCAATTACGGTTAACTTGTACATTAGAACAAGAAAGTATAACAGAAGTATAGTTTTCAAACAATTATTTTTACAAATGAAAACTGTAGTGATATAATTATCGAAAATGTGGTGTCTAATTTTATTTTTTCTAGAGTTCATGTAATGATTAAATCTAAGAATGACATTTGACTTCCTCACACAGAAGTCTGATTCACATCCACAGTAAATATTTTCTCAGTAAAACTCGTCTGTTTTCAAAGATCTCAAATACCTTCCTGTCTTGAAGAAAAAATTATTGGAGCAGTAAAAACACTTAGCTCTTTAGTATTTGCGAAAAATAATGGGTCAATTATTTTTCAACGAAATTTTCTGCACTGAATAATGCAGTTTTTCGTTAATTTGGGGTATACTTTATACTGAACGTTGATTCATAAAACATTATTATTCTTAACTTTGTTTAACGCAAACTGGAGTTTATTATGAGATATTTCTATAAACGTCAATAAAATCACGACCTATAAATCCAGAATGTAACTTTATTAGCTGAAGCTAAATTAGTGAACTTGTAGGATATCTATAGCTCTTGAAGAAGCTGTAATAGTGAAATATTGAGCTAATAAAGTTACATTCTGGAGATATAAGTCGTGATTTTATTTACGTTTACAGAAATGATTCGTAAGACATGATTTTGTGTCTTGAGATCTTTCTAATCCACATATCTCAATTTTTGGGACTTAAAGGAAAGCAGATCGTTAAACACAGAATTTATGCAATCAGTTCAAAAGACGAAAGTGTAACATCATAAACTGACAAAAGTAGTAGTTCGCCGAACAATCAACAGATGGCGAGAAAGAAATGACCGAAGAAAGATTTAGGAACGCGAACCTAAAAAATAGGATTTTGTAAAGATATTTTTATAAAACTATTAATTTCTTAATGTCGCATTTCTGTAATTATACTTTTCTTCCTGGATTCCTCAGATCTTTGTGTAACAAAGAAAAGAAGAAGCAGGAATAAGGCAGACAAAATAATCTATAACAAATTAGTCATGAACGCACAGAGACATCTTGAGAAGAAAACTTTTACATTAACCTTAAAAAAGGCAACATTTCACTAAGTTTTAACAATTAAACAGAGAATAATGCAAAAAAACAACAACAACATTTTAATCCAGTGATAATGACGGAGGAGTTGTGTTCTTCGAATTTCAGAGTAACGTGTCTCAACTATTGAAAAATAAGAGAGAAGTCCAATCAAATCCACCAATTTCAAAAAATACTAATACTCATAGTATTGGTAATTTTACTTGATGCACAGCAAATGGAACATTACAAAATTTTACGCAAATTTGCACATATATATAAACCATAAAAGGTTTCATGTACTTAAAAAACAAAATCGTAATACTAGATACAGCAATTCAGATGATTCTTTATAGGTTTAGACCATATATATATATACTACTAACCAAGGTACTGTTCCTCTTTGTCCAATAACTTCCTCGGCCAGGTGTTCCAGTCGAACAATTCGTTCGCCTTGAAGCTGGTACAAGGTTTTTTGTGAAGGTAATCCTACATTATACATTCCTTTTGGGTATGTTACGCCAAGTCTTGTTCCCTGACCCCCAGCGAGGAGAAGAACGGCAACACGTCCCTCTGCGACCTGTCTTAAACCTGCAAGGGAAGGTATCATGAACTTAAGTAAACTGCTTGTTGTTTTTTTTAATTTCGCGCAAAGCTACAAGAGGGCTATCTGCGTTAGCCGTCTATAATTTAGCAGTGATAGACTACAGGGAAGGTAACTAGATAAAAAAAAAAACACCCACCGCTAACTCTTGGGCTACTCTTTTACCAACGGATAGTGGGATTGACCGCCACATTATAACGCCCCACGGTTGAAAAGGCGAGCATGTTCGGTGACGGGGATTCGAACTCGCAACCCTCAGATTGCGAGTCTAGCACCCTGACCACCAGGCTGTGCCAGGCCTCTTACGTAAAATACAAAAAATATTAATGCATATAATCTAAATAACGAAACACGGTTTTTATTTTTCATTCTTTTCTAATGGTTTATATTTCATGAGTTCTGGATAGCAGGTGAAAACTTGATAACTGTCCACCAGGCTAGATCAAGCCTCATAAGTACACTAAAATAATAATAATAATGATGATGCAAATTTGATAACTACGGTGAGGTTGGTCAAGCCGCCTGCAGGTGAAATGGAAATACCAGATTGAGTCCACAACAAACATGATAAACAACTGATCGTAATTTATAATTCAACATTTCCATCGTCAAAGGATTCAATATTTGTTTGTTTTTAAACGGACACAATGGACTATTTGTGTTGTGCCTACCACAAGGGTCAATCCTCGAATTTTAGCATTATTAGCTCTCAAGCTTTCATGATGTTAGAAAAACACATAGGTTCAAGCTTATCACTGAGTCACCGATGGTGGACAAATGATTCTTATCACACTTCAAGAAACATTATGTGATAGAATGCAAGATAAGGAAGTAAACACGAAGCAAGAATAACTGGAAGTAACAGAAAAAAAATTACGAAACGCCCTTCCTATCTCAGTGGCTCTGCGGTAAGCTTAAGCGCTTAGAATACTAAATATTGGGGTTTGATAATCGCAGTAGGCACAACGCAGATAACCCATTATGTAGCTTTATGCTTAAATTCAAACAAACAAAAAATTACTAAACTAAAAATTATATAAACCTTATTTACTTCATAATCTACTTGTGTCTATCTTCACGTTTCTTTTAAACGTAACTGAAATAAAGAATATATTTCCCCTAAAGAATAAGATTATTATATATCACTTTTTATAACAGTGAGCTTTGGAATAAAGATACACGGACAGTTAACAGCATTATTGATGTTTTTGGGTTATTTTGAATTTCGCGCAAAGATATACGAGGGATATCTGCGCTAATTGTCCTAATTTAGCAGTGAAAGGGATTATGACGCCCCCACTGTTGAAAGGGCGAGCATATTTGGTAGGACGGAGATTCGAACCCCTGACTCTCATATTTCAAGTCAAGCGCCCTAACCACCTGGCCATATGAAGAGAGCACAGTTTTTTTATTTTGTGCAATACCTGATCATTTTATTCAAGGAAAATACATCCATATATCTTTCCTCACCTTTATCTAATGTTTAATGCTCACAAGATTATAAAATATTTGCTTTCAAAATATATAAGTTTATAAAAAATATATATAAATGAAAAGTAATGCTATATCAGAGCTGAACCTGAAACGCTATCAAGTTTTTTGGCAGCTAATAAGGTTGGATTGCTTTGCTTTAAATGTTATCATGTTGGTTTGCAGATAACAAGAATGGACTGCTGTGCTTAAATGTTAACAGAGCAGTTTAAATATTAGTATGACTGAGTTATGTTGTCAAACTACGTGAGGTGGATAAAAGGAACCTGACATGCAGTTAGATTCTAGAAACAAGCAAGCTGCACAAGTTTTCAAATTAAAGATTTTAAAATGTTTTTATTACAAAAAACAAAAAATATAATACATGGCGGACGTTCTACCGTGATAGCGCGGTGAAAATTATGGTTTCAAATTTCACTAGAATAAGTTCATTTTTTCCAGTAACTGAAATATTTCTGCGTATTTTATTAATAGATTATCTAATATTTAAGAGCTTTATTAACCAAGATCAAATTTAATTTATTTCTAACTTCATTACTGGTGGATGCTTCAGTCATTCCCTTTACCTTCTCGTTCATAATATTGAAAGATATGCATGAAAATATCACACTTATTGTGTCAAATACAAAAGAATTATTTACTTATTTGTGTGACTATAGCGACTGATAAAAAATATGATAACAACAAGAACAAGAATAATTTCAAAACATTGTCTCCATTAAACAGATTAGGCCTAAATTAAGCTTGCCTTTTTTCATATACATGCTTGGTTTTTACTTTGAAATTTCAGTGTTTTAGTTGCTATAGTTTTCATGTTATATCTGGAACTTTAATAATGTCAGCTGTATATAATGTTGAAAGAAAATTTCACTTAATTAAATAAGTGACCAATATTGAGGGCCGTGCAAGATTTTGGGGTAAAATTTTGAGGCAAAACACTTGTCAAATGTAGAAATTACGGTTCCAATTCATTGTAATAAGTGTAATTATCAAGAAGTTTAAATTATCCATCAACTCCAAACAATACCAGGAAACTTCAGTCTTTATATTATAGTTTGTTTACACTATTTAATGCCAACCGGTGGCGCAGCGGTAACTCTGAAGGCTTATACCGTTAACCATTTGGTTTCGACATTCGTGGCGAGCGCAACATAGATACCAAGTTGTGTAACTTTATGCAAACAAACAATATTTAATCTTCCCTCCTAATCTGTTCTGTCAGGATCAGTTTTGAAAAATAACTAATACAGAGTCATGTTTGTTTAATATATATTGTATGATAAGTTTGCCGAATTTTGTTAAATAAAACAATCGCTTGGCTAGCAATATTAAATAAAAATTGTCGATTTACATTTTTGACTTGGACCAACCGTTATATAATCAACTGACAAGAGTTATTGTAGCAGTATTTGACAGTTGCGATCAAAGACCTCCACGCATTAAGAAAAAATAATTAACTTTTTTAAAACGCACTTAGTAAGTAATATGTTCAATAATAAAAAAACATTAAACGGCAATTAAGTGAGTGAATTATGTTAATAAAGATGCATAAATGTTTTTCTTATATATCAAGAGTAAAGTTTTGGGTTATAATTTGTCAAGCCTATAGTTACAAAAATTAAAACTTAACAAAATTAATCTTCATCAAACAGAGCTCCAGTTAAAATGGTTACTTAAAAATATATAATTGCTTCGGTCTTTGACCTTGGCTTGTCTAGAAATGACGAGTTAGATTCTTAAAATTTTCTTAAGTAAGTAAACCACATAATATACTGTAAAAAACAAACATAATGCATTAACAATATGAAGGGATACATTTACTGTAAATAGGATACAGTATTTAATTAGCTGGCATATAAGTCATGAAGAACTTAGATTCTAGTTTTATATTAATTTATGATTTTTAACATAAGAGTTAACATAAGTGTACCATGCATTTTAGATAAACGTTACAGATTATTTTCGACTGTAATTCATGCTTTGTTAGGCCTTTTTCTATTTCCGAGAATATTTCATCAAGTGTCAGAATTTAAAAATCGGATCTTCTTTTTCGCCAGTTGTCAAAATTAAAAGGCTTTTATTTATACTTTTTAATAGTATAAATATGTAATATGTTGTTGTTGGGCTTAGGATTCTTCTACAGTAGGTGTCTGCTACTTGTTAGCGACAGATTCAATGATGAATAAACAGCACGTATTTCACTTGTTTTCAAATAATATATATATATATTCGGAACAAATTAAACGTATGTTCAACAAAGTCTTCACATAAAGATTATAGACATGTCATCAACACTGTATATATAGTTCTCTTCTTGTTGTCAAACGTCCACTTAAGCCTATTCAGTTACTTTAGAATTTCACTTGACAAGCCCAACTATCTTCTCTATAACTATCGCACTAGTATTCTGTGTGTGATTCACTTACAGTTGTGGCGCGAGTTACCGTAATCGTTTGGTCTTCCTTCTTCTGAAGATCCTCTGTTATTTTTGTAAAAATGCACTCAGGCTGATTCAATTATTTTAGAATCACGTTTTGACGGAATAAATTATTGTTCTTATCTCTTTTTCTACTGTTAATCTTACTCTAACATATTAAACGTTAGGTCTATTATACTCTTATTTCTACTTAGTACAGGAAGCTAATAGATTCTACCGTTTTGTTCGTTTTTCGGATTTCGCGCAAAGCTACACGAGGGCTATCTGCGCTAGCCGTCCCTAATTTAGCAGTGTAAGACTAGAGGGAAGGCAGCTAGTCATCACCACCCACCGCCAACTCTTGGGCTACTCTTTTACCAACGAATAGTGGGATTGACCGTCACATTATAACGCCCCCACGGCTGAAAGGGCTAGCATGCTTGGTGTGACGGAGATTCGAACCCGCGACCCTCAGATTGCGAGTCGAGCACCTTAACCACCTGGCCATGCCGGGCCAGATTCTACCGAAGCCTAAACTTTCATGGAATTTCTAGTTCTTGCGACATTATAACGTCATGACATACTCTCTCTAGTAAATAAACATTTAAATTAAAATATTAGAAATATAGTTTACAATACGTTCTCATAATTAAACTTTCACTTAATAAGTGTAACATAGCTTACTAATAAGGTGCCCGTCGGGTTTCAGTACCCATGGTGGGCAGAGCACAGATAGTCCATTGTGTAGCTTTGCGCTTAACAACAATCAAACCGATCATTTAAAGCTTAACTCCACGGGAAGAATAGCTTTTCGCCACTTGTTAATCGTAGCAAAAATGTATATTTACCTGCCATTTCAACTAGTGAGCTACAGTCATGGATATATATATATATATATATATATATATATATTGAAAATTGAGTATTATAAAATGAGCATTTTTGTTCTTTTTTACTCGGCGTTTTATTTTTTACCCGATTTTTGTGTGTGAAGGTTTATTAAACAAACCTACTTTCCACAGGATCCAGTGTTACAGCTTCCTGCCCATTTACACTACTGCATAGAACTATTAACATTGT